AATAAGAAACTAATGAAATAGGAATAAGCTATATACGTATACAGGATGTTCAACTACGGGTGGTCATTTTTTTGGGAAGTCAATTATTTAAATAACGCAAAACTATGATTTCATTTTCAAACAATTATACATTTTGTAACTATTAATATTGATTAATTAAACACTTCTTGCTGTGATATTTGTTATTTATTTTGTATTAAAATGTGCATATATAAATCATTTTTTGTTGATCCACCAAAGTAGTATCAATAATCTGATACATATACAAAATAATATTCTGACAACATGCTGAAGACATCATGAAACGATACTTCAAATATTATCGGATTGTGTTTTCTTTTTTAATTTTTATTCTAAATAACTCGCAATTCTAAAAGAACCGTAATCAATATTATAGATTTTAAATTTAGTAAAAAATATTGTGAATCCGCGAAATTTGCACTCGTACATAAAACCGTTTTAGAATCCCCTTTTTAAATAATATAACAGGAGTCAGCTGTCAGTTAATGAAGGGTCATTCCAATTTTTGTTTAACTATATGAACTTCAGAGTTACACCATTTTATCTATATCGATTCAGTTTTACCGCAAATTCTCTTACTCTCATCTCATGGCGAACAATTTAACCGAGGATGGAACGTAGAATCCTACGAGCGCTAGAAAATTCTTCCTCGGAGACTTTGTCCACAGACTTTCCCTCGAAAAACTTTCAATGACTAATAAATAGAAGACCTCTCATTCCAACCTTGAAACGAGAACGCTTTTTCTTGGCTTCTTCACTAGATTGCTATCGAACTTCGCCATGCTTATATCTCCTGTTCAGTGATCTGTTATGTGACTTATTTAACACTAAACGTACAACTGCCGGAAAAATGACTGGTTTTACAGTTTTTATTTTATACTTATCGAAATCATAAAGTTGCTCCCATAGGAAATTGTTAGATTTCTTTACTCAGGCACACACTATTTTAAACATTTATTTATTTATTTATTATTTTTATTTTTATTTCCTATATATTGATGACATCATTATATTTTTGACTACAATAAGAAAATGTTTGATATAGTATTTAGAACTCGTAGTGAGAAAATTAAATAAGAGTAATGGATTTTTAATTTTTCATTGAAAATGTTGTTACTGCAATTTAATTTATAAATATTTTGCTGTGAACAATCATCCTTACTAAACGAACTGTAACTGGTCTCTGTTTTAGGATTATTGAAATTACAGAGATATAATACTTTTACGGAAAGTGATGAATTTTTCTTTCTTCTAGTATATGTTATCAGACACAGCGGACATGTACATATATTTCCTATATATTTGAATTAATGCAAATTATTTCTATTTTCCATAAAAATTTGCAGCCTATATATTATAATAAAAATTACATACAATCTAAATGAATGCAATTTGACAACTTTTATATGGTGGGACAAACCAGGCACTTTTAGTGCTTGGTCCACCTACAGTCGAACATTCTGCACTCTATTTCTTGAACGTCTAAACCTAAGCGATAAGTAAAACTACTAAACAAAATTTCGTTCTGAGTGACTCAGTCTTCTTCAAATCTATCAAATAAGAAACTATTAGATTGTATTTACAGACTTATTAGTTTAAAAGTCTTATATGTTACGTAAAAATCTGTTTCCAATATCACACAGAGATCTTGAATTTCTGGCAATCGACACACTCTTATAATACGTATTATAAGAAAGTCTCCTTTCGTTGAGAGTAACTGAATTTGAAAATATTGTTCCTGCGAAAACAAGTTCGCCTTGTTATTTAACACCACTTTTCCATCGTGACGGGTGCTAGATGCGGTCTCGGTTTGGGAGACGGCCACCTCAGCGCACTCTGACAAGATTCCGCTCTCGAAGGAGTTCTTGACGGCGGTTGAGGCGGATTATATTGTGATTCGTGAATTTGATTTGATGGCTCTTCGCTGGCATTTCCTCGTGAATTCTTCTCAGACGGTGATTCACCTTTATGATTCCTCTTCGTTGCTTTTTTGGCTATATCGTGATGAGCAGCAGGCGGCGCACTTTCAACGGACTGAAGACTCGCTGCGCGATGAAGAGACAGTCGAAGTGGCTTCTTCGGAGGTGCAGGACGCGACTTTGTGTCTTGTGAACCGTACACCATCGATGCGTCAGAAGTCTCTGACGCACGTGATTGTGTATCCTGCAATATAGCAAAGACAAGATATTTGTGTTAGGTTTATTAATAGATGCAGCTAATAAGGGTTACTCTTTAAGATTACGCGATACCTATTAGTTACATAAAAAAATATTTTAACCAGTTATTACAAGTCAAAATCGGTGACGGAGATCGTGATTCTGAATAATGACCAAAAAAGTTGATTTTTATGGACAGTGACTAAGGAAAGTATTCAAACATCTTTTGACACGGAATAACGTTTTTAAAATTGAACCAAATGACTTGATTTCTTTTTAGACGTTAGACAGACTTACTTGGCAATATCTAACAAATATTTTTAAACAATGCAATCTGAAAATAATTTAAAAATAAAAATTTAAATTGCGCATCGATCGATAATCATTCAATATCTTTCAATGCCTGTAGTTTGATTTTCCGTACAAAACGCATTGTTTAAATTTTCGTTCTAGACTCAAAGTTAAGCATAGTATTTTTTATTTTTTTTGTTATTACAACTAATTTCAATTCTTGAAAAAAATTGTTAGTCATTTAGTAAACTAGTCCCTCTAACGTCTCAAAAGAGATTGAAGTCATTTGGTCCAATTTTTTTTCAAAAAGGTATTCCGTTTTATTTTTATTGATGTTTATTTATATATAAGTGAATATTGTAGTGATTGACACACATGAAATAACGTAGCAATATATTTATGCAGCAATTTATTTTATTTATTTATGTAGCAATGGAAGAACAGTAAAAGTGATGAAAAAGATTGGTAACGTACCTGAAACCGATAATAGGTTGGTTCAGAATCGAAATCCAAAGATTGCGTCTGCGACGAGTTTCTGCGATTTTTAGATAAATGTTCAATGGCTGATTCGATACGTGGTGGTCTCCTGCGTTGCAATTGAGTTTGCATCTGTACTTGTTTGCAGTCCAGGCTTGTCGTTGACCCTGTTATATGAAATCCCTGCTGTTTCTGTCTAGTCCTTGATTTGTTATGGCTGTTCGTAACGTTATCCGACGGTACATCAATTTCCTTCAAATTCTTTGGGTCTATCAAACGCTTCGGCTGATCGCTGTGTCTATGTCTAATTGTCGGCAAACTTTGTCGCAACTCCATTGAATTTCTAACATTGAGATCGGGAAGATTTGCTACTAGTGCGGTCACTTGCGGCCCCTTCTGAAAAACCTAAGTAACAAATGAAGTTGATTTTGTAAAAGTACTGATTTTGTAAAATAATATTTTTTTTCGTACGGATGTCATTTATTTTAATTCCGTTCTGACATGATATACTGTTTAATGATATTTTTTGAACAATCTTTGTTCAGTGCGAAAATTCATTCATATTCTGTAGCATACATTAATATGGAGCACGTACTCCCATCTCTCTCTATCAATCTTTTAATTCTATTTTCAATTTGGAGTTCCGATTTAAAAGCTTTTCCCTCAATTAAAGATTTTAATATTCCAGTTTAAAATATTGTTGACCTTGGTTTATCAAAACCAAACGGATCATGTTCTTCATGAGCGTCACAAATATTTTTAGTGACTATGTCAACCGTGTTGTATTTTTAACGTTGACACTACATGTAATTCCGAATATGAATTTCGGTAAAATTCACTGTTTTCACTTAATTTTAAGTAGGAAATGTATAAATACTGAATGTTTTAAACTGAGAGGATACTTTTTGAGAAGCTTATGGAGAAGTTTCTATTGTATAAAAATATTGTTAAAATACAGCAAGTTATACATTTCGGTTTATTGAAACGAATATTAATGTCGTCTTTGTTAATATCCATTATTGTAACAAAAGTTTAATTTAATGTATCCATCATTTAAAGAACTCGAGAGAGCTTTCAATTTTGTTAAATACACAGGGTTATGTTGTAATAACGTGGTAGCGTTGCGTACTAATTCTTCACACTTATCGAACAAAGTTAAGAAACTGTACATATCGTTAATATTTGAGTCAAATTTATTTTTTAAATAAATGTACGTTTTATTACATTAAAAGTACATATTATAGTGAAGCATATAATACATCGTTTGTATTGTAATATTGTTTTATTTAGTGCATACGACAAATAAAGTAATAAACAAAATAAAAAAAAATAAAACAAAAACGAAAAATTAAAAATTAAAAAATTAAATAAAAATACAAAATTGAAAAATTAGAAAAGAATAGAATTAATATTTTCGTTGACACAATACAAATTTGTATCTTATGTCAAGAGGGTTTACTATACGCGACAACATGCAACTATGTAACATGTTTCATAAGTTAGATCGACATGTGTGAATCCATAGAAATAAATACTCGTGAAATCAACGAAATGGTGTTAGCTTCTTATCGTGACCTAGTATACCCGAAATCTTGACTCTTACGTGATATCTGAATGTAATAATATGTCTGGGCCAGCACCTGAACTTGCTCTTGGCGTGTTGGCGGAGGATCTGCGGGGATCTCGGCTCTACTTGGTGCCAGAAGATCCCTAACCTGTTCCTCGAGATATCCGATTCTATGAGTCAGCCTGAGGTTATCTGATCGAAGTGTGCGGAGTGCTGCAAGGGATTCACCTTTTCGAAGGACCACGATTTGTGCCGCATCGGGTGCGACAGCCAGTAGTCTTGCCAAGTCGCTCCTTCCTGCTCCCACCACGAGCTTTCCGTTCACTTCCAAGATCCTGAAATGTATAGTCATCTATATCTATGAGTATTGTAATGACAATTGCTTATAACACATTGCCAAATCTTCACCAAAAGATAAAAAAACCATTAAATTAAAGCGTTTCCATGAAGGTAACTGCAACTGGAAAGTTTGAATTGGACAAAGTAATTATTTTTTCTATTTTCGTGATACAAATCTTGGTCTTAATGTGTTTGAATATTCTGAGATACCAATTAGTATCTAGGCCTAGTCAAAAAATAGTGGTATGTCACAGATGCGTTAATGAGATATTCTAGTATATTCCGTTTTTGTTTAACTTTCTTTGGTATTTTTTTTATAACACCTTCTGAAGTCGCATTTACAAGGTTTATTCATTCATGTTTCAATAACATTTACAAAGTTTCGGGGTGAAGAAAGGTTCAAATTGGTGGCATTGGCTACTTTGAAACATAGTCGAATCTTAAAAAGATCGCCCCATTATGTCCATGATTACGACCAATTTGTTTATTTCAAATGAAAAACGTGTAAGATTTTTAATTAGTATCAGTTTGACTATAGACGATATAAGAAAAATTTTTTTAGCATAAACAGAAGTTACAATCGAGATCTACAAAATGCATTTTTTTTTGTTCTAGGTTCAGATAAAAAAGTTACAAAAATATCATTTCTTAATCTTTTTATCATGATAATCAATTAGAATTTTTGAAAACAATTTTTTAGCCATTGTCTAGTAAATTATTTGCTCTAACGTCTCAATAAAATTTAGATCCTTTGGTCCAATTATAAAAAAGTTATTCCGTTTCAAAAGATGTACGGAAATATATTGCACTAAATGCACCTTATATTTTTTCCTACTTTTATGTAACGAAAGATCGAGTAAACAGTATATGAATAGACACCCTGATGATACCAGATTACATTTGCAACAATATCAATCAAAAACAATTATCCAAAAAAAAGGCAAAAGATGGACGTGTTTTTATACAAACGCACGACACATGTATAAATAATACCATTTCCTATGTTCGCACATTAAGTCACCTGTATTGTGTATTAACAATATTTTTAATTCGAGTTATAAATACACCTGTACATTGTCAGTTCGTTAATGAATAATTAAAACGTTCGCACAGAATATTTTAAGGTACTATAAAACGTCGAAAACCGTTCTCTCTTGTCAAATATGGCAAATAAGATTCTATAAAAGATATACATAGTTTCTCTAATAGAACAAGTAAAAATGTCAAACATTGTAATGAAATACTCATGAAATTGTACTAGGAAAATTATAGGAAACAGTTTCGAAAAGTACAAAAATATACAAAATATACTGCATATTAAATTGTAATAAAATGCTTCCACAAAATAGCAATCATGAGTAATATTCCAAAATTTTTGATAAAATATTATACAAACTATACTGTGATGTCTTTCGATTTCGTAACGCAACAGCGATTCGAAGCGCAGGTGTTTAGATTTTAACGAATTTCTGTCGAGGAGGTGGATATGTGGAAATGGTTTGGAGTAGGTATAGAAGATGGGGTCATGTGAAGTCGCAGGTGCAATTAGTGGGGGCATACGGCGAACTTCCGGTGCTGCTTCACGCTACGGTGACCTGTTGAGAACCGAATACCAAGATTGCTGTATTGTTCTCCACCGATAGCTGAGTTACTTAGCGTAACCACACAGTGCTACACATTCTGTGTTTACCTAACTCTTCTTTACTAATTTTTTCTTTCTCTTTCATCTTTTATATTCTAGGCCTATACTTTCTTCTACGTTCATGTCTAATTAACGCGCGTTCCTTCTTTTTAAGCAGAATCGTTATAACGAATTCGTCGAAGTTTTCCAATAAAACGAAAAACATGTTTTATTTTACTTTTAATCAATAAAGACAAGAAATCTAACAGTTTTTCTGATTATCTACATTTAGGAGTACGAGAAATCTTGAGAGTAATAGTACGATTACTATGTCATTTGACAGTCAGAGTTGGAGAAATTTTATTCGAACAAAGAATAAAATTTTTTTCATAGAATTCATTCGAAATATTGTATAGGATATATTCGAAATAATAATTGAATATAATTCTAGTCAAAGAATAATTATTCGTTATTAGGAATAACTTTTTGATTTGTATATTTATTCAGATCTAATGTTGTGGTAACAATAAGAGATGCATGCGATAAGATTCAATAAGATGCATCTACGACGTTATGACCTTCATATGACCTTGAATATACAAAATTATTTTTCTTCGATGGTTTTTTTGATAATGTTGTTTTTACATTGCATATACATATAGTCATATAGTCAACTGGTTATCAATGGGGTCACCCATTAGGATTTATTGTTTATTTTAGATACCATTTCTTCATTTCTTTTATCTTTTTGCTGATCTTCATTTCTTTTAGTTTTTTCCCAGGTTTTATTTAGAGTTGCTTCAACTGCTTGGTCTATTGTGTTACTTTCGTTACTGTAACTTCAAAAGTTTTGGATCTTGTTATACTTGGCTATAGTACTAAAATGAAAACACCATTTTGACTTAATTGAACCGCCGTCTTAATATCCACACCAAATAAATTGAATTAAGAATAACGCCAAACAAAGATGATTATTGCAAGCTTGTCGCTAAAAACAGCAAAAGGCACATCATACTATTTATGTTGTGTAATTATTACTTGATACTACGGCAACAATAAATAATGAATATTAAAAAGGAAAAGAAAAATATCATGTTTAGTATACACAATTCTAAGCAGTATAGAAATATGTTCGAACCTGTCTCCCTTGCACAGTCCGGAATCTTCAACTGCCCAATCGACGTAAAGGCCAGGTGTATCTTCCCTCGGACCCGCCCCAAAACGAGGGCTCTTCGGGTCTGCGCTAACTTCCACTGCATGGATCGTGACTTGCGTGGAACCAGAAATACAACTAAATAGAAGAAAGTGAAATTATTGAATAGAATTACGGGCACGTGGGAACGATGTCGTTAATTTTTCTGTTAATTCAACCGTAAGTGCCCGAACAGTGAACATACATAACAAATATCCATGGAAGAGGTTAGCAATTATATAATTATATAATTGAAGTTTACACAAAAGAATAAATAGGAGATAAATAACGACATTGTTCTAACAATTCTTTGTCATAGTACTTGCGAATTCACAAATAGACCGCGGATTTTATGTACTTATGACAAAAATGAGTACATGAAATATAAAACAATAAAAATATTAAAAGAATTTAGGAACATCTATATATTATTTTCATCTCACTAAAATTATTAAAGATAGAAAATATTTCTATTTGACTTAGGTTTGTTGAAATTGATGAAGATGATTTTTACCGCATTAGTATTTGCAGTCTAATGATGATATATTTTTGAACAAAGAAGTTTGTGTAACCATTTGTCACAGAAATATTTGTATATTAGTGTATCATTTTATCAATATAGTTTATTAATATATCATTTTATCACGGGATTTTCCGAAATTAAAAAGTTTTTGCAGTTATGTATTTCTTTTCCTGTAAGGACGCTGGAATATAGATGAAAGATAAGTGTTCCACTACTACGTACATATCTACGAAGAGGTACCTGAATATCGTGTCGTTCTTTTGTTTTTCTTGAGACTCTGCCAACTCCAAAGCTGCTTGAAGAGCTCGACTTTCTTCACGAAGGGTTAGAAGTTCCAATTCTTCTCGGCCAAGTCTGTACTCTAACTCCGCTTGTTGGATTCGAACGTCGATATTACTAGAACAAATAATTCTAGTTTATACGGTACACGAACAAACATTCGTTTCGACTCGATCAATTTCAGCAACATTTTTATTAGTTAGACATCTACGATAAACTTATATAAAAATTATTTGTTCTAGAGAAAACAAATATTTTTAATGTATGAATACTAGCTATTGCTGTCCTGTTCCTATGGATTAATTTATATAACTTTTTTCAAAAGAAATTCACAATTCTTTACAATTGTCTGTAATTTTGTGTAGTGCTTTCAATCGACTTCTTCGTTCAATTTTATAAATTTCATATTTCTTGATTTGATTTCAACACATTTAGAAAGTCTTAGAATTTTGTATTTTTCTTTTGAAAAAATCAAAAAAGTTCTAAAAATCGAAAACAGCATTTTGTGAAAATGAAAAATATATAAAGTATATATTTTTAATTATTGGTGCGTTGATTATAAAATTCTCCCTGTTTGTTTAATTTATTAATACTCCAAACACAATATTTAACAAAGATAGATTGCACATTTTTATTTGTGTGCAAAAAATAAATAAAATTAGTTTACTAATACGATAATTTACAGCTTCCATAGATGAAAGTCAGGTATCTGAACTGTCAGATCTCAGGTTGCCAACCTCGAGGGAGAGATTACGAAGTCTTTCCTTGGGAAGACGCCGCAATTCTTATTAATTATCGTCATAGACAACTCGACTTTTTTTTATTCATTTTAATATAATTTCGTTGCAATATTATAATATGTAGACAAATTTCGTTGTATTGTACATTTAATAGAAATGTGAAAGACGAAAAATATTAGGTGTATGAAAAAAATCGACTCTACGATTTCACATTATTTTTCCAACATTTAAAGAAAATTCTGAAAGTTTCTTATTTTCATAAAAAATCTAATGCTAATATTTCTATCAATGCAATATACTTTATTTGTTTTCTGAATCATAAGACGCGCATTACTAAATAAACAAAAAACTAAATGTTAACCTATAAAAGTGACAATTCCTGTCAAAATATTTTGAATATTTGTTTTTTTAATCAAAAGTATAAGAAATAAATGCGAGATATTCGTTTACATAATGAAAGCGGCAATAAGTCGCGCAAGCAAAGAACCCGCTATTCTATAAACAATATCTGTATTCGTATTAATAATACAAATTACAGTTAGAATGAGAAGCTATATTTTCTTAAATAATACGTCTGAAAATAATGTATTGTATTTGTGAGACCTACCCTATAATGGAATTGGCAGGCAGATGGATTATGCAAGTCTTGTGTAAAAAAAGTCTACAAAACTCCACATCGATCAATATCACAGAAACTTATTAAAAAATTTTAAAAATATGAAAACAATATTTAAAAAATCCTTCTTCGTATAAGAAGTAAAAACTAGAGAAGATAATGTTGAGAGAAAGTCGATTTCTCATGCCCATAATTTCATTTATGCGTGGGGCACTACAGTCCAAGAATTGAAAAATTAGAAGAATAAACGATACATAAATTGCATGCCACGTTTTCTCGTAAATATTCCCCGTATTTGGTATAATTTCTACTGTAAAATGTGTAACAATAAGGCATTGAATAATAATAATATATTGTTCCGTCATACTCTGAAATATTATAAAAAATACGGTATGTATAATTGCGACATTACATTTTTTAATAAATTGCTTCATTACTATTATTGCAATCTTCTTTACTATTATTAGGAATATTCAAACGTGATTCATTTGTGTTTGAAAAGGGGCGGGGCGCGTTTACCTTAGCAATTTTCTTGAACATTTGTCAATTTATTTTGTTAATTAAGGAGTTGCGGTTAAATTTAATTACACTAAACTGCTTCACTCGATCACGATTGCGCCGTACATGTTGGAACTTGTCAATTAAGCCAACGCTGGTTAGCATGACAAGAAGGTTTCCTTCCTTCACTGATGAAAGCATTTTACTACTACTGTGTTCAACACGTGATTGTGATATTACTGCGAATAGTCGTTTCATTTTTAACTGATTGTTTTATTTCATTTTGATTTCATTTTCATTGAATATCCATGAAAAACAATATTGAGAGATAAAATAAAATAAAACAATAATATAGTTTAACTGTAGACTAGTTTCATTTTATTTATAGAGGCTATCCATGAAAATCTTTTATTTATTGTAATATATTCATTAAAAATAATGTTATTCTGTATTTGCCTATTTTCTGGTAGTATTACTATAACTTGTTTTGAGTTTAAAAATTAAACATTTGCAATTTAATATCTTTATAATAATCGAAATTTATAATTTTGATAGAGATAATAAAGAAATATAGATGATTTACATGTAATTCCAATCAATAGAATCTTTAGTTTAAGGAAATTACATTGTGTTTCGTTTTAAATATTGGAACAAATGATAAGTTTTATACTAATGCGATCAAATGAAAACAACTTGTGTATTAATGATAAATATTCCAAAACGCACACTTGCTGTTTATAAACGTGACGATTACACTGTGGTCTTTATGCATTTTTGACAAAAATAACCAGATCAAATACAAGAAATGTGGAGGCATTAGACGAATTTAAGGATACCTTTATTTTATAATATGTATAACTTATTAAAATGACTACAGAAAAGGGAAGACATTTTGTCAAGGTTATTTTATAAATATTTTATTATTTATTATATTGTATTTATTTTTGAATTAAATAATTTTTATCTTGCATAAAAGTCTGTAGTCTTGTGATGACGGACTGTTTAAAATAGTACTTCATACTCTTATTAATCTTCAACAAATTATTGTAGTACCCGCACACTAATGGAAAATAGAATGTGTGCAGAAACAGTATCATCTTTCTCACGCTTTCCAATACAAAGTTCCCACAAACAGCATGTTCTTCAGCAGGGTTTATGATACAACCTTATGTTTCCCACATTGACAAAAGTTAATCACGATCACTTCCTTGCTACGCGTGAAATTTTATGCGAATGTACATGCTAGGTTGCCCAGAAATTTTTTATCATTTCCTTATTATTTCCTCGTCTATAGAAAATCGTCTTTAGGAGAAATATAATGCTTCGTGGATCGGCGAATATGCAAGCTTGCAGAAGCGTTTCATACGACATCTAAGACATGTTATTTTTATGGTTTGTAGTTTTACCCCTGAGACTATCCATCAATAAAGGCTTCATTCTCATAAAATCGTTCGTGATAACTGCTAACCATGAAAACATTTTAAATAAAAATGCATATTCCAAGGAAAAAGCTAAAAATAAAAGTGAAAATGTTGTGTGGATCGAAATATTTCTAAATTAAATGGAACTGTTAACATTAACAAAAATTACAATTGCTTATGAAATGAAGGCAGAAATCAATTCTATACTGATCTATCTCAAACGATATAATATAATCTATGTTAAAATATACAGGGTGGTTCTCGTAACATGACATCAAATAATTCATAAAATATTTGTTGTACAAAAAAATGTTTCAGATAGAAGTTGCATGGCTTCTAGTGGGAGCATATCGTATTCTAATCAGTTTTATGTTACTTTGCTTTTTTACCAATATATAAAGGTCATCTTCAGTAATTTAAAATGGAATAGTTAATATTTCTTTCCGAATTCGAATAAAGCGTTGAATTCTACATAAAAAAGTATTACGTCAGGTAGGGTGTGAAATCATATATTGGTAAAAAAGCAAAATAACATAAAACTGATTAGAATACTATCTGAAACATTTTTTCGTACAATAAATATTTTATGAGTTATACATATAATGTCATCATGTTACAAGGTTTACTTTGTATAGGGTGAACTATTTCTTCAGAGTACTACTGGATTCTGGCACATAGAAACGATAAACGTACTTAGTTCATGTAAACATATCCCATTTTGATTTCGTTTTCGACAAATTGTGGTTCTATTGATCTGATTTTACCGACAGTTTGGGGTAGTTGAACTCGTTTCATCTAGTTACAAATAGGATTGAAGTAGACACAGTCGTATGAAATACTAACATTTTGACTGCCATGTTAGCAACTTCAAAAATATAATCAAGTTAAAGTATTTTATTTAGTCAAATTAAAATTGGAAAGCTGAGCCATTCAACATCAATTACGTTTTCAACATTCATACGTTTCGCGAATCCTAATAAAGGTCAAAGTATTGATTCAATATGCACGCGTATCTATGAGTTATCCTACAAATTAATGCTAAACGTCATTGTTTTAAACAAAATACGCAACAATAAGAAATTACACTTTTGGTATGACCTATGGAAATTCGTCGGCATTTCATTAAAAATGGCAGATATAAAGATACGTCAGAGATAAATTCTGAATCTTATTATTTTTGTACGTAGAATTTATTTCTGAGTAGTAATGGTATTAGAGTAACATTTCTTTCGTTTATGAAAACCTGTGAGGGAACGATGTCGTTCGGATAATCAGCGAGTTCGGCTCACTAGTTATCCCCAGCAGCTGCTCTGACTAGTTCCAATGATAGGAGCTGACGTTCAGATAAACGAGGTTGAACAACAATTTCGACCCGAACACGTTCAATTGCTCATGAAAAGTCAATTTATTTGTACTTGCTATCGTATAATGGAAAATATATACATTGAAACGGAGTTCGGATAATAGGGGGTCCGTTATAAGTACATATAACTGATAGTAAACAAAAACTTGTTCGTATAAACGAAGTGCGGATAGACGAAGTTCTGCTGCATGTACAGTGTGTCCAGTTTAAAGCAGAACATTTCCGTATCTCGAAAAATGTGAACGATACTAACAATCTTTTAGATGAAATTTGTACGACGCCAAAGGGTACATGTCATACCATTATACATTTAGATTGCGATGATCTTAAAATGTCCTGTGGAGGTTACAAGCGAATTTCTTGATAGAAAATTGCACTATTATTATTATTATATTTTTTATTCACGTTATTAATAGACTGTGGAATTCCCTACAAAATAAAAATTATCTATATTAATTGCAAAAGCAGATGTTAGGGGGGTATTCTGGTTTTGAGCCTTCGAACAATCAATTTTCTTTTTATACTTTCTCAAAGTATAAGAATTTTAGAACAGGTGTGCGAAACGATTTCTTTGTAGTCGTAAATATAACGAAGTTATATATGACTGAAATATAGTGGTGTGTATAATTATTAGACTGTGGATTTAATAGATGAATTTATAATAAAAACGAGTAAATGAAATACAAAATAGTGAAGATATTAGAAGAATTTAATAACGTTATTGCACTATTTTCGACTTACTAAAATTATTAAAAGAAGCAATTCATATTTTTTCAATTTCTATTTCTTACACTGGACTTCGACCATTTTTATCTTGCATAAAGATTCGTAAATTTTTTTAGTGATATTAAATCAAAACCTTAATAAAACATCATATATCAGTAACAATGTAAAAGTTACTTTGAGTCTATAATTATGCACACCACTTTATGTGTAAATACTCCCATATAATTGATAAGAATTTGCATTTTAAACACATTTTCTTGAAAGCTCATCAATGTCTTCGATTGACTTGAAATTTATTCACCATATATCCTGCTTTCGTATCAACCAAAATTTTTAACATCTGTCGGTATTTTTTATCTTTTTTTACATGCTAAAGACAAAAAATATTTAAAGGATCGATAATTTCAGTAAAAAATATCGCCGTTTTGTAAACAATTAAGATTGCTGTGTTTTTTTGCTTCAATTATTATTTTACACACTAAATAAAAAGATTCCTATCTTTTTTGCTTTGAATATGCAAGAAAGCCGAAATCATGTCAATT